CCAACTCTTGAGCCACGGTCGGACCTCGCCAAATGTGTTTGTCACTAGTAAAGTTAGGAATATTAGGCGTAGCATTTAATGAACTCTCGTGTTCATCTCAGCTAGCCTGTTTTAAACACACTATACCACCATCTCTTATGAAGAAGGTTTCTCGTCTGTTTTTGAGCATTTCATGTTGGAATTAAATAATTACATTTCATCAAAAGAGGCAACAATTCTGAAACTCTGGATATTTTCCACTGATAAAAAGAACCAGACCTACCACACAGTGCCCGGGTTAGTCCACTTACACAGCACGATGGATCCAAAATGGAGTCGCAGTAGATCTGATTTCCCAAATCATCCCATCTGGATCCGTGTTGGACCTGTAGCTTGTCCCAGCACAATCTGTATTATTCAAACATGATACAGAAATATGTCAAATCTAGCTGCCCAAGATGTAGATATAAGAAAGCAGGCATTCTTATAACATGCTTGCCTTTACTGATGAAGCTGCCTTTTTTCCATTTATTTTCATCTGCACTGTGTTTATCTCTGTTTTAGAATTTTAAAAACAGAAACGCTTTAATCACTTTTTCCTGGCAGTCAGAATTGTTTGAATTGGTTTGTTAGTTTCTGTCCTGTAGCAGCAAACTGCATCTCTGTCTGTCAAACCTATTTCATGACTCTGTGACTATAGAGTTAGTTTTGCTGCTGCTTGCTTGTGTTTCAGGCTGTATCCAGAGGCCAGAGTAACCAGACTGGGGCCATGGTCTCATTTCAACTGCAGCTACTCATGTTCGCTTGTCTTGGACCCACAAGACCCCCTTTTCCACCACATTGGTTCCCTGTATCTGTCCCAAGTGCTGAAGCAATTTGGGACGGATCACATTTACAGCACTGACACCTTCAATGAAATGACTCCACCCTCCTCTGACCCCGCCTACCTGTCTGCAGTCAGTCGCTCAGTCTTTGCCTCGATGACAGCAGGTGGGTGTTTGAATCAGCTGCCTGAACCGTGACAATTTCTGGGTCCAAGTACAATAATTGCCCTAGTTTGTTGCCCCACGGATGACCTGTTGTACAACTTTCTTGCACAAACAGTTTGCTCCCTGCTGATTTTGAGCCATGTTCAAGAACTGGTCTATTGTCTGGCCCTCATCCAAATGTTTTTCTCTCCAGTTGATCCCCGGGCAGTCTGGCTGATGCAAGGTTGGCTGTTCTTCAGCGATGCAGCGTTCTGGAAACCAGCCCAGATTCAGGCCCTACTACACGGAGTGCCGCTTGGACGGATGATTGTGCTGGACCTGTTTGCAGAGACCGAGCCAATCTTCTCCTACACAGAGTCTTTCTATGGGCAGCCCTTCATTTGGTGTATGTTGCAGAACTTTGGGGGCAACAGTGGGCTGTTTGGTACGGTTGAGAGCATCAATTCAGGCCCTTTTAAAGCCTTGCATTTCCCAAACTCCACCTTAGTAGGCATAGGCATGACACCAGAAGGCATCGAGCAGAATCCCGTGACGTATGAACTGATGAGTGAGCTGGCTTGGCGCAAGGAGCCAGTCAACTTGGCCAAGTGGGTGTCGCTCTATGCCATACGTCGCTATGGCAATACACAAGAGAGCCTGACTGCTGCATGGAGGCTCTTATTTGCCAGCATTTACAACTGCAGCGACCCACACTACCGAAACCACAACCACAGCCCACTGGTCCGCAGACCATCCTTTCACATGAACACTGGGCTTTGGTATGACCCC